CATTAATAATTTGGGTTTAGCTCCAGTATCAGTACAATAAAATGAATAGTATTATTATGAAACTTATTTTTAATGAGGCTACAGTTGGTATTTAGGCTTATAAGATTTTGTATTCTGTTTTAATTTTACTCATGTGGCTTTAACTCTTTGTGTTCATTRTAGTGGTCAGTGCAAAATGTGTATTGTACTTGTACATAAGCCTGTACAATTTAAGTAAAATAAGGGGGAAAGGCTCTGGCATCAGAATTTGTAATTAAATAATATTTAACATCTTATTGCGTAAGATTCATCAGCTAAGTTTCTCAACAACCAACTCTTCCCCACTTCTGTCATTTTCCTGTAATAATTGTTGACGATGGCTCAGTGAATCTGGGAATATCCTCAGCCACGTAGAATACTCAGGTGCAGCCTTTGTTTTGGAGTTTTGTAGGCCACATTTGTCGACTGTATAAAAGGAGCCCATAAAATGGGACGGTCTTCGGCTCGATGCAGTGATGTAACCTGCCTACAAGAACGTGCTACAGAGGACACAGCTCCTGAACTGAGTCACTGTTATTAAATATTACATACACCACATCTTTTTCTGGAAATAGCTTAGAGTATTGCATAAATAAACCACAAATTGCAATTATTCAGGCAGACATCTACAATGAAAAGCTTCAAATTGATAACTTCTGGGCTGCTTTTCTGGCTTCATGAGTATCACTTTATAATATGCAGAAACTTGTCCTGATGTTGYTTCCATTAAATTGTGTTGTTTTTAATCCTCAAGTACGCCCTAAAGATCGTCAGTGTTTTACTCCTGTCAGCTCTTTGTTACAAACACTCCCGACCTGAACGTCTCCTACAAACCCTTTGTGTCTCATGTTCTATTTTCCCTCTCTGCAGCAACCCAACATCAAGCAGAAGTTTGTCGCCCTGCTGAAAAGGTTTAAAGTTACTGATGAGGTAAGTTTTTTTTTTTACTTTTTGGTCTCTGTCTTCTTGCCACTTTCCCCAGCGCACCTTTTGTATGATTCAAAATGCTTGTTTGCYGTAGAGGTTCTGTTGGAGTCGGCCCGTATTTCAGTTTAGCTCTGACGTATTGAGATGTGTGGGAGAGAGGTGACAGGACAACTGAGATTCATCTGGCAGCTAAAAAACACAAACATTCTCATTTAAAAATAGAACAGAAGTGTGTGTGTTCAGTGAATTTATGTATTTCTGGATTATTCTGCTAAGCAAAACGTTTGTGATCCTCATCTTGTTTCATTTGTCCCTTTTTCATTCTGTATGTTTTAGATGTTTGGTATTTATTTTATTTTATTTTATCATCATATCACAAAAAG